AGGGCGCCAGCTGGAGAAACGGCTGAAGAAAAGAGGGCGAGAAGAACAAGACGGATAAATGAGATATGGCAAGAGAGGCAGAGATTGGAGGCGGCGGGGGAGCTCCCGGAGCAGCAGCAGGAGAGGCAGAGATCAGAGGYAGCAGGAGCACTCCCGGGTCAGCCACCCAGCGTACCAGCTAGGGCCCCGGAGATTCCTGAGATGTGGAGAGACTTCTGGGAGCAGAGAGGAGAGGAGCTTCCATCGCCAGTCAGAGCCGGGTTTGGGATAGCCAGGAAGGCAGAAGAGAGGTTAGATCATAAAATCAAGTTCCTGGCCAAGACCACTTTTGACCGGCACTTGTTATTGGAGAGCGATCTAACGGGGAAGAAGATGAAGGAAGTAAGCCATGGAGTACGCCTGGAGGCTATGGAGATGGAAATTCAGGAACTCAGGACCTTGGTGGCCAGCCAGGCAGCTATCATCGAGAGCCTGAGGCAGCAAACCCAGGGGAGGGTGGACAGGCCAGARAGCAGCAGGCAAGGAGAGCAGAGGCAGCCGGGACAGGRRTTGCCAGGACAGCCACCTRCAGCGGAGCCTCGCCAGGAGCCACCTATGGGGAGAGCTATCCTGGAGCCAGAGGAGGCGAGAGCCCAGAGACAGGCAGAGAGAGAGGCGTTCGAGTTTAAAGCCCCTACTGAGCTTGCAACGCTGCCAGTAGCCGCGTCAGGCCCAGTCGTACCTTTGGCAGTAGGGGAGGGGCCGCAACCATCTAGCAGTGAGCCGGCTCAGGGCTCAGCAGAGGGATTCATGGGCGTGCTCCTTGAGGCGATGCATACTATGCAGGAGGAAGTGAATTTCTTTTCACCTAGGCAGAGGATAGAGGAGCCTCTTTGAGAGAGAGAAGGGGATTAAGGCGGRGGGTGCCGTAGAGAGCAGACTTCAGAGGATGGGCACACCTGAGTATGGACCCGAGGAGGTTGAGGAGCAGCCCACAACAATGTCAGGAGAGACACTCGAGAGGAGGCCTCAGAGGTTGGACTTGCCTAAGTACGTCCCAGCGATAGGGGATTTGAGGAGTAGACTGAGATCTTGGGCTACTGGATCTGAATCTGGGGGACCGGTTCCTGGGACGGAGCAGCAGGAAGTCGTTAGTACCACAGCTCCTCGATTGGAGCGGCAGRRGGTTGTTGGTACCTTGGTAGGATCTCCTTCATYACCACCTCCTCARCCCAAGAAGAAGAAGTTCAAGAGGAAGGTAGATCAGCTATGTTTCTACTGTAAGAGGGATGTGCATCTGGCTTTGGACTGTCTCGAGTTTCTTGAGGATAAGGCAGCAGGGAAAGTCTCAGAGGTAGGAGGTAAGATGTATGATAGACAGGGTAGCATAGTAGAGAAGTCSGCAGATGGACTTAGGGCTCAGTTATATAGGCAAAACCAGGAAGAATTGAGGAGGTAGGGTCGGTTTTGTCTATATAAATGAGCGAGTATTTTGAGAGGCATCAACTTGGGTTCTGTGTGATACCAATTTTAGACTTAGAGGACATTTTGATGATTACTATTAATCTAGATCTGAACTCTAGTGTTTATACCAAGTTGGGGTTTTTGAGGGTCAGGATGATTTAGATGAGACGTGTACATATTTAGGTAGCCTACGCCCTGACCCTTGAGACACAGATCTGACATATATCCTAGGGGCAGTTGTTAGCGTAAGTTTGGTGTGACGTATAAGATGCTTTATTTTCCTTAAGTATATACTATTGATGAGGTTTTGACCATTCATATATATGACGATCGCTTGTCACTCTCGCATGTGTGGTTGTACTGTGATGTATAATGAGTTTTGTGTGGAAAATGTGTGTAACAAACATCTGCTGAACTATTGATACTATGAGTATGATTGTAAGTAAAACTGTCTGCTCCTCGGTATACTTGTGCGACCCGCCCACGGCAGCTGATAAGGCAGGGTATAAGAGGAGGAAGCGCAGTCCGTCTGTGAAAGTTATCTAAGTTATGATGAGGACCC